ACAGAGACTTCCAAGTCTGTGGTGCATCTGTCAGAATCATTGTACATATGAACAGGAAAAGAGAGCCAGTGAGTGGAAGCAAACCCCCAAATAACACTGGTGTTAGGGTGTACAGACACAGAATTAAAAGCACTTTTAAATATGTCCAAAGATGTAAAGAGAAATAATCTTAACTATTATGGGAAATCTCACACAGAATGGGAGCTAGTAAAGAATTAAATAGAAATGCTAAAACTGAAAGCCACAGTAGCTAAAATAAAATTCTGTGAATCACTGGGCAAACATATTAATCAGAACAACACGGGAAAAAGGGTAGAAAACTATGAACAGAGTCTCAATACACTAGGGACAAATTCAAGTAGTCTGACATACATGTAATTTGAGACGTAGGTGGAAAAAGATAAGGAAAAAATTTTTTTTCAAGAAATAATGGCTGAAATCATCCCAAATTTGTGAGACCGATAATTCACAAAGCCAAGTTGAGCAAACCTGGAAGTACAACAAAAACCACATATAGGTATACTGTAGTCAAATTGCTGAAAACCAAAGATAAAAAAAAAATCTAAAGCAACCAGAGATAAAAGATGTATTGTGTACAGGAAAGCAATGTGGGTGATGGCTGATTTCTCAAGAAACAGTGGAAACTGGAAGCTGGTAGGAACCACAGTTCATGTAATATGCTGAAAGCAGGAGGAAAACAGACCCTGCCAATCTGCCAAAAATGCCTTTCAAATATGAAGTCAGAATAAGGAAGACAAGAACTAAGAGAATTCAGCAAAGCAGTCCCGGGAAGCTTTTCAGAATGAAGAGAAGTGACACCAGATGGTCATTCAGGTCCAGGGTCATAGGAAGAAGTAGGCGGCACTGGAAATGGTAAATACAAGGTCCAGGAATTGCAGGAATGGAGGAGGTTGGGGGGAAGAAACATAAAGATATGTTATGTATAGGTACAGATTCCCTGTGATGAATGTGATTATCATGTATATCTAAAATACATCAAATTCTAAAAAATAACAATTTTAAAATAAAATTATTTTTTCATCTCAATTTTAAAAGATACCTCATTTAGTTCAAAAATTATAACATTGGATTGTACAACTTATGGTATATATAGATTTAAAATATTTGACAACAGTAGCATAAAGAACGTGGGGTAAAAGGAATTACACTCTTGCCAGGTTTGGTGATCCACTGCTGTAATCCCACCACTCAGGAGGCTAACGCAGGATAATTGCTGCAAGTTTGAGGCCAGCTTGGGCTAATAGTGAGTTCAAGGCCAGCCTAACCTACCATAGAGAGAACCTGCCTCAAAAAAAAAAAAAAAAGGAATTACACTCTTGCAAGGTTCTGATACTTTATATGAAATGGTATGTTTTCAACTCTAAATAGACTGTAGAAAAATGTATATTGTACTTAAGAACAACCATGTAAAAGATAAGAATCTAGCTAAAAAGTCAATAGAAGAATTAATAATTTAAAACTGAATAGTAAAGTATAAACAATGCAAAAGAGAAGAGGAAAGGAAAAACAGATGAATTTAAAAGGAATTGGATAATTTTAAAACAAAATGGTAGACCTAAATCCAAGTACATTGATAAGTACGTAAGATGTAAAGGAACTAAAAATTCCACGGAAAGGCAGAGGTGGTCAGATTGTACCAAAAAAGCAGGATGCAACTGTGTGCTGGTTAAAGAAGATTACTTTATATATAAAAACAAGGATGGGAGCTGGGCACAGTGGCCAACACCTGTCATCCCAGCTACTCAGGAAGCTCAGGCAGGAAGATCCAAAGTTCTAACACAGCCTGGGCAACTTAGTGACTTACAGAGACCCTGTCTCAAAGTAAAAAGATCTGGGGATACCACAGCACAAAGCCCCTGGGTTCAGTTTCCAGTACCACCAATTAAAAGGGGAGAAAAAAAAGGTTGAAAATAAGAATGGGAAGAGATATGCTGTGAAAATGATAAGCAAAATGAACCCATTGTGGTTGAGTTCATATCTGTAAACAGACTTGGAAAACAAGGGTTGTTATTAAGGTTATAAGACAGATGCTGGGGAATTTTCCGTGTTTTCTTTCTTGGTGGCTAGTGCTTACATAAATGTATAGATTTGTAGTTTATCAGATTATACAGTTAAGGTCTTTGCTTTTCTCTGTGTGAATTTTACATTCTAGTTTGAAGAAAGAAAAAAGAACCTTATAAAAGACATTGCCATCATAAGTGCATCAAAAATGAAAGCAGTGTCCATCTGCCTGTCTCTGCACGCCAGCCATTCTCAGGAACCCTCCCGAGCTCCAAAGTTCTCCACCTGGCACAGGACACGCAGGCGGGGGGCAGGCGTACATCTGGGTGTCCTTTCTCTGATGAGAGCCGTCCTGTGCTGGACATGTGCCCTCCGGCCCTCCGTTCCCACTGCCCGGTGTCTGCCTCAGTAGATACAGGAGGTGGTGGCAGCAGTTGTGGCCTTATAGCCGCTTGTTTCCATGTCTCTGCCCAGGTCACTGTCTCCGCTTCAGAGATGTTGGCCCACCTGACCCGGCACTGGCTTGGCTTGCCCCCCACCCCCGTCAGGTGACACTTGTTTCCACAGCTGCTCTTCACCTGCTCTGTAGGTTTGGGCTGGCAAGCCTGGGGGCTGTCCCTCCCCAAAGAACCCAGCTAACAGACTCTGCCCAACCCACAGGTGTGTGGCACTTCGAGACCTCTCGGGCAGCAGAGTGACCCAGACTGGCTGCAAGGGCACACGGCCCAGGGCCAGTGGGGAGCGGTCACTTGGGCCGGCCTGCCTCACCGCCACACCTCCGTCCTCAAGGGCTTCAAGCCAAGCCAGTAGCCATGGGCATGAAACATCTTCCAGGTGGAGAAGGGCCACTCCAGCTTTGCTAGCAATAACTGACCTTCAGGTGCCCTCTGAAGGAGCAGGGACTCAGCACAGAGTTCGCTTTACTTGGGGCTGCAGGAGCGTCCCTCCTCTATGTGAACAGAAAGTGGTTCATTCTTCATTCTGACTTTTTTTTTTAACTGTTTGGCTTACTACCAGTTTGTTTGAATGAGTGGTAATTTTCTCCATGAAGTGGGAGAGGGTGGGAACGTCAGCCCCCATCCCGGTGGTGCGGTGGGCCTGCCCTCCACTTGGTCATCATGGTCATTTCGGCCACCAGGTCCCCTCTGGGCATCAATGAGATGCTCTTCTGTTCTGATGGTGCCCGTGCTAGAGGGCCAGGCAACCATGCAGCCGCTGACCAGTAAGTAGGGTGACATCCATTCCAAATTCTTTGTTTCATCTTAGCACACATGGCTGGTCATAAAACTGTGTTCATCCTAAATGGTATTGGGAAAAATGTAGTTTCTACTAATCAGAAACTGCAAACTAGGAAAAGGCTATGTGAAAAAAATCCCTTTCCTCAATGTACATAGTTCAGTTCTTTGTTACATCTAAGCTGTATCCATGGACATCAGTCTGTTTTGGACTCCTGCTAGTGTTAAAGATGAAAATAAAACCGTTAATTTGAACCAAATGTAAAAAAAAAAAAAAAAAGAAAAAATGAAAGCTGATACCATAACATTTCCACCTGTATGGTTCCATCTCATATGTGGAAGCCAGTCTTAACATTTTAAATCCTTTTCACCTAATGTAGTTTCCTTTTCTATAGTGCTTTCTTACAGCTTTTATTTTTTGTTTTCTTCTAAAACTTAACATATTTTATTGGAAGTTAGCAGACTTCCACCCCAGAGACTGATATTTTTCTCACAAGAACTAATGAAGGTTTCTTTTTATGGACATCTGGGTCTGGCATTTAATTTGACATCCTCCTATATTTACACATTTCTTATTCATTTATTTACGGGTACTTGATTTACCTGTGTTGCACCAAGTGCTAGATCCTGAAATAGTGTGCTAGACAGACTTTCTGTCTTCCCTCACAGTTTATAGTCACAATTTTGCTTTTCTTTGGGGAAATTTAACATGAAAGTTTAAAAGCCAAAAGGTTAAACTCACTGATGAAGTGACAGAGTCCACAGTTGTGTCTGTGAATTCTGTGTGTGCACCAAATTCTCCCCTGTAAGGACAGTTCTGTGGTAAGAGGTAAACCACGAGAAACAGAGCCGGATGCAATGCGGTCACGTCACGTCACACAGAGGCCGGCTTCAAAGTCAGTGTGTAAAATGAAGACCAAGTGTAGGTAAAATTCCTGTCTTTAAACATTGACATCACATTTGGTGGATGATGCCCAAACTAGGATCTGTGCTGAGGAGCCAGGTTTGATGGAGAAAGAGTTTCACATTTTCCATCTCATGCTAATTGAAAGAAATGGCCCACTAAATCACCCTCCCTATTGAAAAGATTATTCTTCTCTCTTTCCTTCTCATCCCTCTATTGTGTGTAGTGGCGTGAGGAAGGGGAAGAGGGATAGGAAGAAGCTAAACATGCAGAGTTAAAATTCATAGATGTGAAATGAGACACATGCCTAGCATTTGAGAGTTGCCACTGCATGAAGATAGCAGAAAAGCAAGTTGCAACCTCATTCACGTAGTGAATTTAAATGCGTGCTTATGTCTAAGACAATCAGCCTCTAGATTACAGGGTGATCTGACACCCAAGCACAGCTACTGTGGGGAGAACTGTTCATGGCATTATTTTTATCTCGTGATAGTTTGGGAAGCCAGACTTTAAAGGACTTGAACAAATGAATTTGAAATTACAGCATTGAGTTCACTTAAAAAGGCTTTTTAGCTGAAACAATTGTTTACAGCACCATATTTAATTCCCATAAAACTGTATTCTAAGCTATCTTCCGAGGCATTTCATTGTTACATTAAAAGTTTTTGCCTTTGGTAATTACTGGTTCATTTGCTTTAAAGCATTATGTCATCCTGTTTTGCCTAAGAGAAAGATTACCCTTTGTGCGGGGATAATGGGCTTAAATATTTAAACAACAAAAAAAGAGTATTTAACTAGTTTTCCCGATTTTGTTATTTATTTTCCCTTCTCCTCTGCAGTTTCGTGCCTTAGCACCAATGTACTACCGAGGATCGGCTGCAGCTATAATTGTTTATGATATCACAAAAGAAGTAAGACAATATTCGGTTTTTCTTACACTACTTTGGCAACTCTTGAGTGCTTGGATCTCCAGTTATTCTACTTCTGTGTTGCAGGAGACATTTTCAACATTAAAGAACTGGGTAAAGGAGCTTCGACAGCATGGCCCACCTAATATTGTAGTTGCCATTGCAGGAAATAAGTGTGATCTTATCGATGTCAGGTAACTTATTATATAATAAGAGATTACAGTGCTGATTATGTGTTCCTTTTCTTAATGAGCAATATCCAGTGTAAGAATCTTACTTTTATTTTATCTCTGACATTGAAAATTTTCTTTTTGTTATGTGGTTAGAGTCCTGAAGTTTCAGGCTAAAATTAAGGTTTTAGGAATTTGGAGCTAATTGTATTATATACAGAGAGACAGATGTGTAATTAAACACTGGTCACATTGCATTTGACATTATCTGAGATCAGTGTGGCCCCAAGACTCCTATGATGCAGGATTCTTGAATACGGAAAGCACCTCTATTGGTGGTTTCTCTGCACCACTTCCATGATTTTCAAAGAAAGGGATTTTTCTTTTAATTTGGGAGGGAGGTGGGGTATAGAAAATTTTGCCCTTTCCTGATCATTCCATTAGCTGCATTGTTATGTTACTAGTGGTACTGAATTTTATTTAAAGGCAGAAGGAGGATGATTGGTAAGACCATATGTGAGGGCTCATTCAGCAGCCTTTTGGGGTATCCCTTGTCATCATAAATCTGGTTAATTGGGTAAGTGGGGATATTGTTAAGAGCCTGATGGGTAGAATTTCTGATGTGCAATTGTTGCCTTCCAGAGAAGTCATGGAGAGAGATGCTAAGGACTACGCTGACTCCATTCATGCAATTTTTGTAGAGACCAGTGCAAAAAATGCGATAAACATAAATGAACTCTTTATAGAAATTAGTGAGTATCTCTGTGTCTTATGGGTTTTCTCTGTGCAGAAAAATTTCAGAGTTGTCTTTCTGGTAAGAGTTCCTAAATTAGTTTTAGTAGTCTAGTCTCTGACACTCTGGTCAGTGAGATGAGATTGGAGAATACGAGGATGGCCTGCTTTCCAGTCATGGTATAACTGCTGGGGGACTGCTGCCTGATGACTGTAGCCTTTCTGGAAAGAATGTCGCTACTGAATAAATAATGCATGAGGCATTGAGGTCATGGAAGCTGTCGTGTCTCTAGCTCTTTCTGTATTTAAATGTATTTCAATTAGTCATCCAAGGTCATCAAAAATGAACAAAATAAAGGGAAATAAAATTCAGGTATGACTCCATTGTAAGAAAACCCTGAAAAATTGGTAATAGGCAAGGAATGGTAAGTCCTCTCTTTCCCAACTTCCCCTTCCCTTTCCAGAGTGTTAATATGATGACACTAGATGGGAGGGTGACTGCTGCATGCACATGCCTTTGGGATCTTCTACAGATTGTATCTGTTTATTCATTTCATTCAAATTCATCAAAATATTTATTAGGAACTGTTCCAGGCTCAGGGGAGACAGCATAAAGAAGATAGACACAGCCCTTGCTCTCCCGGAGTACATGTTCTGCTGAGGGAGGCAGACAGTGAACACCAGATAAATAGGGTCATTTCAGATAATAATAAGAGATAGGAAGAAAATAATTCAGGATGAAGTGAGAGTGCTTGCAGGTGGTCAGGGAAGGCCTCTCTGAGGAGGTGGTATCAGAGCTGAAGTCTGACAGAACTAGGATTCACGTTAGCTGAACATGGCAGACTTGCAGATGGAGGGAGGCAGCCACCACTCAAGAACTGGACTTATCCATTAAGACAGCTAAAGCAAAGAGGGCTCTTGGCCATCTTGAAGGTGAGCAGTCATGAATTCCAGGGCCCACAGGGCAAGGCAGGGTGGCCTGAGTGGAGTAGACCTGAGAGGAACTCTGGGGGCTGGAGCCCTGGGCCCAGCTGCAGCAGTTGGGGCCAGGCCAGAGAATGGGCCTCTGAGTGCCCACTTGCTCATACTGTTTTCAAGTTCTGTTTTGGTTTGGTCTGTGTGTTGCTCTCTAGTTTCCTTAAAGATCTTTATTTGTATGCAGTGTATCCATTGTTTATGTTTGACCACTCATTCTCAGAGTACTTTGGAGACCACCTGACAGCCCATGGCCTGCTAGTAACATGCCTTTGGCCAGCCCTTCATTTCAAAGTTAAAAGACATGCTGTTCATTGTTGCCCTAGATGTAAATGCCAGGTATCCAGATGCATTGTTCAAAGGCAACATAAGGCTAATCAGGAATTTTTAACAGTTCCAGCTAAATATCTCTGTAGGGTGTTATATGTTCAAACTATCACTGTTGTTGTTTTTTTAAGTGTTCTTTACTATAGCAGTATTAAAAACAGGAAGGTAGTGCACTATACCAACAATGGAAATTCTTATATGAAAACTAGTATGGCTGGGGGTATGTGTAGCTGAGAGGTAAGAGAACTTGTCTAGCATGTATGTGTGATGAGATCCTAGGTTCCCCAGCACCACAGCAGGGTGGGGGTGGGGCACTATTATGCGCATACTCATTTATAAAGATATGTTAAAAGAAGAAGAGGAGAATTGACTGATGGAAATTAAATTTTTTGCTCACTGGGTGTTGTAAAATTGCATGAGCACAGTGTCTGGCATGCTGACTTTGTGTCAAAGGGTAACATACATACAGAAAAGGACCCTGAGCAGAAGTACAAGTTCAGTGAGTTGTCACAAATAGAATAGAGCCAGTGCTTAGCACTTGGGTTGAGACATGGCCCTTCTAACTTCCAAGGGAAACCACTATCCTGATTGCTAACTCTTCAGTTGGTTTTACCTGTTTTGTGGGGGCTTTGCTGGGGGAGGTGGTTGTTATTTTTGGTTTTTCTTTTGGTTGGTTGGTTGGTTTTGAGGCAGGGTTTCACTGTGCATCCCAGGCTGGCCTAGAACTCTCATCAATCCACCTACCTCAGCCTCCTGATTGCTGGAATTACAGGTGTACACCACAACACCTGGCAATTTTATGTGTTTTAAAACATTTTATTTACGCTTTTTTTTTTGGTCTGGCTTCTTTTATTCTATTATATTTTTTTATTATCTGTATCATCGCATAGCTGTAAAACATGCATTCTCATGGCTGGCATGTATCAGTATCAAGAGTCAGAGTTAGGAGACAGACAAGCAGGGACTATCCAGTATAATTATCCAATCAAATTAGGCATCTGGATAGTTGTTTCCAATTTAAAGCTATTACAGGTAGTACTGCTCTGAACATTCTGGTCACATCCTTTGGTGAACATCTGTACACGTTTTTGTTAGGTATCTTTTTGCTGAAGAGAAGAACCGCTGGGTCATTGGATCTGCATGTGTTCAGTATGACCTTACTGCCAGTTTTCAAAGTGGTTGTTCTGCCAGTTAATACCTATACCAGTGGTATATGAGATTTGCTTTTTTTTATGTCAGCTGAGCAGGTTCTGTATTTCCATAAAGGTGACGAAATTTAGTATTTGTCCAGATAATTTATTTACATTTACATACTATCTGGGTATCCTCTTTTGTGAAGTACCTGTTAAAAATTAAATCTTTTGCCTGTTTTCCTATTGAGTTACCTTTTTCTTTGTATTTTGTACCTCTTTGGATCTGAGGACTTACTGATTATATGTATTGGAAATGTCTTCTGCTCTGTGGTTTGGCTTTCATTTCTCAATCTTTTTCCTTTTTCTTTTTCTTTTTTTTTTTTGGTACCAGGGACCGAACTGAGGACCTTGCACTTGCCAGGCAGGCATGGCACAGCTGAGCTACATCTCCAGCTCTGAAGTTTTTAATATTAATCTAACCCAATATGTCCTTATTTTCTTTAATAATGAGCATAGTTTTTTAGTTCCTGTTTGAGAAACCATTGCTAGTTCATGAAGATGTTTTCTCCTGCTTTCTTCTAAAAATATTCATTCTTTAAAAAAATTTTGTTGCATTTTACAATTGCCTCTGTGACACCAGCTGTATTTGTTTTTATTTATTGAGAAATACATAATGATAAGCTTCAGGAAAGCTTTAAAGTAAATCTGCAATTTATTCACAGCAGTAAGTATATGCATTTGAAAAGTTGTAGGTCATTTTCTAGTTGGTACAGAAACCATGCTCGTTATAGCCCAGACAGGTTATGAACTACCCAAAATGGCGGATCCTCAAGGTTTGGGCACCAAGGACCTGAGGGTTATCATAAATTCACAGCCTTTTTTTTTGGTACCGGGGATCGAACTCGGGTCCTTGCGCTTGTGCAGCAAGTGGTGAAACCACTGAGCTAAATCCCCAGCCCCACAGCCTTATTAATGCCAGAAGATGTACCTGTCCATTCATTCCATGTTTATAAAATACTGGCAACACCAAGATAGAGGAACAGGATCTATTCCCCAAAGAGCTTAGGATCTAATTTGAGGAAGCTAGTCATTAAACAAATAGAGCATGCTTCTGGTATTTTGGTGGATTTTAGTGTCTGAACTGTTGGAGAGTTAGGAAGTTGGGAGAGCATCAAGAGAAGCTTTGTAGGGCCCGGGATTTAGCTCAGTAGTTCCCCCGCCTGCCTCGCAAGCACAAGGTCCTGAGTTCGATGCCTGGTACCAAAAAAAAAAAAAAGAGAGAGAGAGAGAGACTTTAAGAAACAGCCTTTGAGTTATCAGCCAGATAGGTAGATGGGTGATTCAAGGTTCCTTGAAATTGGCATTATGCTTCACAGAGCAGTAAACTGAAACCTGTTCATTCTCAGGTGTTGTTGGTAGGAGAATAAAGTGGCACAGCCTCTTCAGAGAGCCATCTGGCAGCATTTGTCAGAATTTGAATTGTGTGTCCTTCTTGCATTTGTGCTACATAAGACACTGGAAATATGGTGTGTGTGTGTTAGACAAATGCCCAGAAGTAGAATGGCATGACCTAGCTCCTCCATTGGGTTTATCCTATACATACACCATTGATAAATACTGAGAATAAAGTAAATATCCAACAGTTAGAGAAGTGGTTAAATAAATCATGATACATACACATGATACAATATTATACAGCTAATAAAGAAGCAGCAGCTCTGCATTGTACTGTGATGCAACAATCCCCAAGACATGTTAAGTGAAAATAGTGAGGAAGAGAGCAGTGCATACTGTTTGGTCCCATTTGTACCTTTTTTTTTTGCACCAGGGATCAAACTCAGACCTTGCGCATGCGAGGCAGTTGGTAGCACCGCTCAGCTAAATCCCTGGCCCTGTTTGCCCCTATTTGTGCCTTGGAAAGAGGCTGACTGGGGAATGAGACACACCAGTAAATGTTTATGAGTACTTGTCTCTGGAAGGCTGCACAAGAAAAGGGTCACAGTGGGTGAGGGACAGGGCCTATTCTGATGGAATCTATTTTTAGTATATGTATGTTACCTACTCAAAATATTTTTAACCTGTAATTATTTTAAATTTTTTACTAAATGCCATGTGGTATCCTTGGGTCCCGGACAGAAACAGGACATTAGTGGAAAAACTGGTAACATCTGAAAAACATCTAGAGTAAATGGTGATGTGACAATGTTGAATTCTTCATTTTGACAGATGACCATGGTAACAGAGCATGAGCTATCAGCACTGGGGGAACGGGATGAGAATATACAGGAACTCTAGTCGTCATCTTTCCAAGTTTTCTGTAAATTATTCCAAAGTAAAACATTTATTGAACTTTTTTTTTTTTTTTACTTTAATGAAACCTGTCAGATTGCATCAGATTGCATTGTTGGTCTGAGAATGAACAGATTGGGAAAGCTGAAGCTAATTCCTTCCCCTTCTCTGTTGGTGTAGGTCGAAGAATTCCATCCACTGATGCCAACCCGCCATCTGGCAGTAAGGGCTTCAAACTCCGAAGACCACCATCAGAGCCAAAACGAAACTGCTGTTGAGGAGCCTCGGCCTCTCAGACTTGCTGAAGTAGGTGAGCCTGGAAGTTGGCAGCAGGGCTTCGGGCCCTGCCGAGCTGCTCTTGAGTCTTCTTTGTACAGAAAGGACTCACAGAAATTGACCAGTTCTGTTCTCTTTGAAGACTGCAGCAGTGTATTTCAGTCTGCGGACTTGTATTGTGTCAAGACTTTCTGGTGTACAAAGGGACTATGTCATTGGCTTTTGACCTTGCTGAAAGGAACATCTAATTGTACGGGTGGTAGGTTTAAATTGCTGAGTACTTTTGTAATCAAGACTTTATGTAACATTTGTAAAGGGAAAATTAGCACTTTCACGGTCCGTGAGGGGTAAAAAGACTTTGTGGAGATTATCATTTCCTTGGTTTCCTATAGCCACTGTTAGAGGGAGTTGTATCATGTAAAATGTGGTAGAATTTTGCAACTTGGGGAGCTGGCAGTTATTATTTTAAATAAAATGGGTTATTTGTGGGATGGATGGAGACGATCACGTCTCTGCCATCTCTGAAACACTTTCATTGAGTATATTAACCGTAGACCCATGCAGTAAGCTGACAACACAGCAGCAGCTACCCACCTCATCTTGGGTTTGCTTCTGATTCTGTCATGTGTGTGGCACCAGACACATTATTGGCACCTCTTTAAGCTCTTGTGAACACGGCGGTAGAGAGAAGCTACCTGGAATAAACTGAATTGCATATATTCTAAACTGACTAGCATAAAAAAGAGGAAAAAAACTAAAGGAAGTAATATAAATGCTATCCATTTTTTATTTAACCCAAGTATTTTGGTGGGGAAAACGAGATGCTTAGCATTTGTAAAGTTGTAGTCTGTATTTATGAGACCATTGCTTAAAGATTATAAGTTATGTAAATACATTAATGAATTGTTTCATTCAACTCTCCATTTAATTTTGCACCCAATCTTACATATGCCCACCCATTTTCAGCCTGTCTGTGGGGTACTCTGAGGTACATTTATGTTGTGCAGAGAAATAAGAGCACTTAGCTCACAGTCTTTCATGGTTTCTCTGCCCTCCTTTCCACCCATGCTCCTTTCCTCAGCATCTCATCTGGAAATGATAATAAAAGACACGCTACTTTGACAAGCCTGACTAGTCCTTACTAGCCTGCAGTAAAGGAGTGAGCTCCAAGCTCAACTCCTTTACCTGGTCTTGGTAATTTCTGTTAGCTTTTACAGCAACCTCAGACCAACTGTTTGAAGAGCACTTTCCTTGTTAACAATTTAGCTTATCTTTCTGTTCCCTTTATTTTCCCCCGCTTCTGTTAGTGGTTAACAACTCTTTTCCCTCAGGGAGCCTAATGAGGTTTTTAATACAATCTAAAAATAAAGCACTGAAGTGAAGTTGGTGAAAATTTGTTCCTGGTCTAATTTGGTACCCTTCCAACCTGAGTATTATAAGAGAAGGAAATTTACAAGATTAAATAGGAAATTAAACAGCTTGAATTTCAAACTAAATTGTGTTTTCAGAGCTATCCTTAAACTGAACAGTCGAAAGTTTTAAACATAATTATTTCTTTGTGCCCCCCACTTGATATGGATAGATTTAAATGGGAAAATTATAACTCAGATTAAGTAAAAAAACAAAGCCTTTTCCTGGTTGTATATCTTAAGCATTTGAGATTGTTTTGTGCTCACTAAAATCATATAGAAAGAATGCAATTAGTGAAAATTCTAATGCTGTTTTGTATAAAATACATGTAGATTCTATCTCTTCCTAGTATCTGGTTTCCAAGCCAGCATCAAATTAACAAACTTGTAGAGAAACCGTGTGATTCCCAGGGCTGGGCTCTTTATACCTAAGGGTGGCTTGATTACATTTTATGCATCTTCAGGTGATTCCAGGGCATGCAGGCACTGCCCTGGTCTGTCCCAAGCATTCCCACTGCTAGGTCTCTGTCTCCATGACAACAAAACAAAAACAGCGATTTCTTAACTCATTACAGAGGAGGCCATGCTTGTATGGCCTTTTCTGCCTTATTTCACCAAAAAGCACACATTTGTGACCTTCACCAGACTGGCCACTAGATGCTACACCACCGGTAAACTCGAAGTCTTCTGAGCCTCATCTGAATGCCTGTGGTCACAGTTGATGTTCCAGCCAAGGGCCCTTTACAGCTGGTTTCTCTTTCTGACTTTCATGCTCCTGTCCACATGTAGGGAGTGATTCTGCTTGACCATAGCCACGTGTCTTACCAACAGCACAAGTGGCATGGGGTTTGTGCTCGTGCGTTTCTAGGACCTCTTTGCCCTCGTTTTCATCAGTCTGTCCAAGAAATTGATCGGGTACTGTTTCTCTTGTTGTATCATTCCAGTACTTAACAATGATGACATTTGTATCTCAGCTCCATAATTCATACTCAGTGAAAGCAGGAGGAAAAGGTCTTCACTTACTTTGTTTGCATCTAAAATGCAAAGATGATTATTGAAGTCAAATCAGTGCTTTATTTTGAACACATTTTCAATTAACCTAAGCAGTGATCAAAAAATTATGAGAAATTATTATGAGAAAAAGCTAGACTTCAGAGAAATTAAGACATAGCCCATCCATAAAAATCTTTTGGTTCCCTCATGACACAGCCATTTTTTAAAACTTTGGGGACCAAACAGAAGGGAAAAATCATTAATTAGCTGCAAGTGTGTGTTGATTCTTTTCAAAATTAAAATAAGCTCTTTGTAGGTGTCCAATCCTAGAAACCTTTGGTCTCCAGATCTCTCCTTTTACATAAGTGTTTTTCTGATTCTGTGATAACTAATTAACTATCATGTGGTGATTAAAAGAACATAAAGTAAGAGTATGATTAAGTCTCCTTCATTGTAAACTCTCTGTAAGAAGTGACTGGGGAGAAGGACCTACTGCAAGCCCTTCTGTTTCCAAGTGAGACCTCCATCACCCGCTTGTCAGCCACAGTCACGATAAGTTCTGCACAGAGCAGCTGCAAGATTTATTCCTTTTAAAATAATGTACATCCTTCTTCTCTGTTTATGATGCCTCTTCTCTCATTGTGCTCATATTTTCTGGATGCCTACCCGTGTCTGAAAGGATCGAGCCTTTTATGTTAGACTTGATCTCCTTAAGTTGGCCAGTGTCCTTGTTGAGGTTATCAGTTCTCTTTATTTTTAAATATATAAAGGGGAAGAAAACCACATTTAATTTTAGAATTTCTCTTTTATATCAATTTCTTGTCTCGAGAAAGAAAATATATCTAAGAGGCCTCCAAAACTGAGAGATGGAGGAATGAAAATGTCTTTACACAACTATTCCATGGCTTTGCTGGAACTATCAACCTGGAATGTGTGTTTTCATGGCTTTGAGTGTAGAGGACAAGTCAGGTTCATAGTAACACTGCAGTCATTGGTATGTTGGCCTCCAAAAGGCATTTGCTCGATTACATGCACCTTTTATATTCTAAGATTGGGTGGCTAATGATTATAGGAATTGTGTTTCTCGCTGTTCCACTCATCCTCTCAGAGCAAGGACATGACACATGGGCCCTTACATCATGAGCTATGGCACACAGTGTGTTACTTCTGTAACAGATGAGCCCCTAAACATCCAGCTGTTTCTAAGACCTGTGTAAAATAATGAAAGAATTATTTTTTTTCCAGAGAAAAGTTACTGGAAATCCTTTAGCTTTACCGACACTAAACATCAGCTGTAGAGCATTTGGAGGGATGGCAGCCCCACACTCAGGCCAGCCCTCCTTCCTAAGCTCATTAGACTGTGAATGTCTGTCCTGGCTGACAGGTGAAACCTAGATAGCATAAGTGATTTAAATTTGTTTTAAAGGGGTGAGCAACACAATTTTTGTTTACTGTCTGGTTTTTAGGAGATACTCTACCTCTTAACAGTTAATAGTTTCTAAAGGAAGAAATGCAATGTACCTGCCTTCAGTCAGCTTGGCTCATCAAAAAAAAAATTGTAATGGGGCTCAGCAGTAGAGCACTAGCCTAGCACTTGCAGAGCCCTGGGTTCTATCCCCAGCACTGCAAAAAGAAAAAAATTGTTTTTAATGATTCAAGGTAATGTTGGGACATCCTCTGATACTATGATTAAAAATATTCCAAACAGAAGTTATATAGGAGATAATTATATAAGAGATAAACAGTATACTGTATAGTTTTAGAAAAGGGAAGTGGGAGTGGAATTTAGCCTAGGACTTAAAAACAATCTCTGCAAATTTCTTTTGACAGCAGAGTTACTTGTCTTGGCTTCCAGTAATAGAAAACCAGGCAATTTGATTATCTGATTTGCAAGAAATGTTAATAAAATTCCGGGGCATTTTGTCCTGTTTTATATGCAAATGAAAATCTAAAAAATATTAGAAAGGCATTATGTTTTTCATGAGCCTCCAATTTTTTCATCTAAGAGAATGAAAAGTGAGAGACCTGTTGTGATGAAGTTTCATTAGACATAATGAGAAAAGTGAATAAATAGAACCCAGAATAGCCATATTTCTCAGTTCAAACTTCAGGACTCTTCTCACACGGGAAAATGATTTACTTCCTAAATCTAGAAGGACTTTCAGTAGCATAGATCAAATTTAATTTGATGATCTGAACCATCAAAAATAACTAATATCTATGTTCTTTCCTTTCAGAATATAATCAGTTATAGATATGCTAAAATATTTTTGGCTCCAAAACAAAAGGAGGTATGAGCCCGGGATTTAGCTCAGTGGTTCCGCTGCCTGCCTTGCAAGCTCAAGGTCCCGAGTTTGATCCCCGGTACCAAAAAAAAAAAAAAAAGGTAAAGTTTAATTTTAAAAATCAAAACACTTTCATCTGTTACTTTTATTATATTGAGCATTTTCAATAGCAAGATTAGGATATACCAACAGTAGATGGTGAAATTAAAACCAGGATGTGTAACAGATTTAATACAAAAAATTTTAATTTGCTGCTAGTTCATTTTGAGATCTGTATGATGCCCTGTGCCTCATCAAAATGTTCCATAATTGCAGTAAACAAAAGTCTAGGTAGCTTTCTGTGAAGGAAGATTCAGTTTCCATGTTCTTTCTGGCAAGTAATGGGAAGTCCTCAGATAGTAATTTTGGAGAGAGCCTTCTTTAGTTGACAGTTTTAAACTGTAGACCTTAATGTCTTCCTTAATCATGCAACAGAAACAGTACATGCTGGTTTCATTGAAGCCACTTCTTGATTCAGGAACTTTCTAGTGTTTAAGGAAACCTTAATGCAGAACTTTGGGGGAAATTATCTTTAAAGTAGCATTTTGTGTATGGGGCCGATGATCTTCACTTAGAACTGAAATTGTGAAGGAAACGGCTGCAGCCTTGGGTGTGCCTCTGCCCGAGGCTGCTGCCCCCAGCTGAGGCGGGGCCACTGGGCAGTGCACCTGTGCCACTTGGGAGCGTCGTCAGCCCCTCTGCCCACGCTGATGTCCGACTTTGCTCTGGGGCCTCAACTTAGTATATTTGGCCATTATCAATTTTTCATTAAATCTTTACTTAAGTAATTATTTGTATTCCCTGGAATTTTTTTAAAGCAGCACTTGAATTTGTTTACCTTCACTTACTTTGTATATGAAGTTATTACAAAGTTCATGAAACTTTCTTATCTTAGATCACACACATGACATCTGGTGTCAGAGGGACAGTCAACTAAGAGTAGGGGAAGTTATTGGCAGCTGGCTAGTCAGAATAACTGATTAAAGACTTTTTTTAAACCATTTGTCGTACTGTGTAGACAGAGCTTTCTCACCCTGAAAGAGGTTGTTTGGGGTTGTGTTTTTTGGTGGTTGTTTTGCTGTCATCCAGCTCAGTCTTTCCATCTTTTCACTTCATGAGTCACTCACATAGTCATCAGTCATTCCTCTGACTTTGAACATCTACATCTACCTTCTCTGTGACTGAAGCAGGCTTCTAGCCTTACTTCCTTTACTACTCACGGTTTTCTGAAGGCTTTCCCTGGGAGACATGCTGCTCCAGCCACTTCCCAGCACCCGTGACAGTAGTGCATGTGGCCTCCTGTGGTTGCAATGGCAGGGTTGGCCCACTCTGTGCAGCTGGAGGCAAGCTACATGCAGACAGTGAGAAATGCAAAGGCCAACTTAGGTGAAGACCTGCAGGACTTGAGGAAAGGAATGGGCAGCATTCACTTCAATGGGAACACAGCTGAGTGACAAAATACTTCTCATTGGTGATAGGATAATCAGCTTAAGCATTAGAACTTCACTGAGTTTGTAATAGACCTTTGTTAAAGTGTGTAAAAATCCAAGTCAGAAGAGAAACAGCTGTGGAGATGAGCCTGGACATTAAAAAAAAAAAAAAAAAAGCTAAGCCGTCATACCAGCAATTCTTATTTCTCCTACGAATATCATGCCTTTTCAAGACCTGATGCAAGGAGTAAGATATTTGTGCCTTTTTAGAGTAGCACCTATTACAAAAAAAATTAAGTTGCTTACAATGTTGGCCGCTTTGTAACACTACAAACAGCCAGATTTATAGCTGTGGCTTCACACTGCATGATAAACTGCCTGGTTACCTGTAATGAAATACTGTAATGATGGTTTGCCAAGCTTGTATGGATGTTTGAAGACCTTATTTTTGCAGTCCTAATCTTAGGCTGGACCTAAGTCTATGTAAACCATATGATGTCTGTATTGTTTGTAGATGCTAACAAAACAAAACTAAACCTTTTGCTTTTTGTTGTATAATTTTTCTTTTTATACTTAACGCTAGTACTAGATAGTTTGCAAATGAAGGCAGAGTTGGTATACTTTTCGATGATACTGTTTTAGCTTGAATATTCTATAATACACTTCTTATAGAGTATCACATGCTAAATCACTATAAAATTTGTTCTAAGAAGGGTGTAAACATTTTGTTAATAAAATACTATGTTTATAAATATATGTATTTGCCTTTTAGTGGTTTCTTTTGGCAATATTATTCATCACATATTCTTAACTAAGTATTCTGAAGTCACTTCAGAATGGTTTTTGGAAACTGAAGTCCTGGCACGTCTGCGGCTCTGATGGTGTCTGGTGGGCACTGCGGTATTCGTACCAGTGGATCAAACTCCACACCCTCCACATCTCACTCCTCTGTATCGGTTCAGTGTGACAGAAGTTGAGCTGGGGATTGTTGTTGGTCCAAGAGTAGAAAGGCACCAGGAGCACTTGGAGGAAATGCTTATGCCCTGTAAGAAAAAGGAAGCAGCTGTTCGTGGTAGCGCATGTCTGTAATCCCAGCATTCTGGAGGCTGAAGCAGAAGGATCACAAATTTGAGCCAAACCTGGCCAGCTTAACAACTTAGAACCTGTCTAAAAATTTTTTTAAAAGAGCTGGGATGTAGCACAGTGTAAAAGCCCTGGGTTCAATCCCCAGTATCAAAAGAAAAGATTGGCACTATGAGGAGCTTATTTCCTAGGAGAAAAGGTGATTTGGTTTGATATGGCTTTTTGAGACAGGGTCTTGCCATGTAGTTTAGGCTAGTCTCAAACTCGGTAAGTAGCCCAGCTTGGCCTCGAACCTGTGTCAGTCCTCCCATCTCAGCTTCCCCAGTGCTGGGATTACAGGTGTGCACCACTATACCTGGCTAAGAAAAGGTTTTTACTCGACTTCCATTATTTGGGGCATTTCATCAAAAATCCCACATTTGCCTCTGTGCTGTAGTTTTGCTAGGAGAAAGCAGAGAGGGTTTAAAACTGATAGATTGGGGTTTGAGTCTCAGCTTCACCCTTCTCCACACTGTGTGGCCCTCAACAAGGTACTTAACCTCCCTGAGCTTTGTTTCCTCCATCTTCACCAAGGGTTAGGGTAATAACTGAGCACATGTAGCAGTTTTGGTGAGGCATTTATGAAGTTCAGCATTGATGAGTAAGCACTCACATAGAATTTTTATAAGCCATCTTCCTAATAATCTCCTTCCAATTCAGGTAGGATAGCTATTTGACATTGGTTTGGCAGTTTGCTGGGGTTTTGGTTTTGTTTGTTTTTGTGAGACAGGGTCTCATTATGTAGCCCAGGCTGGCCTTGAAGATGATCCTCCTGCCTCAGCCTCCAGAGTGCTAGGATTACAGGTGTGCAGCACTGCACCTGGCTGCTATTTTTTGAACATTTTTAAAGATTCAGTATATACCAACCAAGTGTGGCAGCTCACACCTGTAATTCCAGCACTCAGGAGGCTGAGGCAGGAGGATCATCGCAAATTCATGACCAGCCTGGGCTACATAGTGAGTTCAAGGCCAGCCTGAATTACATAATAAGACCCATTCTCAAAAAACAAAACAAAACAAAGCTATAGCATGTATAGGAAATGGCATAGATCTTGTGTTCAGCTAAATTTCACAAAGGTTTCTCTCCCTTGTGTCAAAAAGTAGACATTATCCACATCTCAGAAGCCCTCTCAGTCACTATCCTATCTTTCTGACCTCACAGGTTAGTTTTGTGTGTTTTTGAACTTTGTATCACACTGTATACAAACATCGTAGGCACTCCTGGGCCTGGCTTCGTTTAACGTGGTATAACGTTCACATTCACTCTCACATTCACATGCATGAACCACCATTCATCCATTCTGCTTTCATAGGTAGTGGGTTGGTTTCAGATTTGCTGTTAGGAATGTACTGTGAACATTCCCACACATGCCTTTGGTATAGACAGGCATCTACTTGGGAATGGTGATTACTTGGTCATGGGAGATACATATTTGTTTATTTTTGCTTTAATAAATACAGTTTTTTTAAATACAGTTTTCTAAAGCAGTGTACAAATATAACTCCCACCAGCAGTAGATGAGAATTCCAGTTGCTTGACATCCTCACTAACACCTAATTCATTCCTCTCCGAGTTTGAGGTCTGGAAGTCTATACTCCGAGCTATTAACAGAAGTTATCTCTGAGGAGAGAGGCTTGGTTGACAGAACCATCACCTTTTTTTGAACTTTGTATGTACTTCTGTACATTTTAAGTTTTTGACTACTGGTGTGTATTTTTTCTTATTTAAAAAAATCAGGAACTCTTCCACCTTAATCTTGTCTTTTAAACCTTTAATGAAAATTGACTCAATAGATAACACTAAATTTATATTTGTCTTATTTTTCTCTTTGAAAAACACAAGCTGGACATTGTCCCACATCTGTAATCCCAGCACTCTAGGAGACTGAAGCAGAATGATCGCAAGTTCAAGCCCAGGCTGGACCACTTAGCTAGACCCTGTCTCAAAGTAAAAAACTTTTAAAAGGCTGAGGATGTTGCTCAGGACGAAGACTTTGGGTTCAGTCCCCAGTACAGCAATCAGTCAGTCAACCAATCAGATTTTGGGGGGGGGGGGTACTGGGGATCAAACTCGGGTCTTTGCACTTGCGTAGCAGATGGCAAAACCACTGAGCTAAATCCCCGGCCCCAGATTTTAATTATACTCACACTTAATTTGGTCAGTAAAAAGCTTAGAGCCAGATATGGAGCAAGTGTAAAAGTATAAAGTGTAAAACTTTGCATTTGTTTCACTGTAATATTTGAGATATATCTTTTCAAGCTGCTATAAATTCTCTTGGAAGAAGGGCAGAGACCACAAATATGGTATGTGGAGAATATTAATCTATGGCCTGACAAAGTTATGCTATGGCAGGAGCCAGTCTCATTGATAGATGCCAAGAAAAAGAGGATGACCCCAACTAAAAAGAAAGAGACAAATTGATAGAGAAGTGCTATACAATAAGACAGGCCCTTGCCTGGCCTCCATTTTTTTTCCCACAGAATGTTTTGTTTTGGAAATGTAGATTTGTGCTGCTGGGCTCCTGCCCAGTGTATCAGAATGGTTTGTGACTCTTTGAACTGTGTGACCTTTCAGGAATGTTCTGTTAAACTCCCCCCTCTCACAAGGTGGTTGTTAAGCTCCACCCCCTCTCAGGAATGTTCTGTAACTCTACCCCTCTGCTTCAGGAATGTTCTGTAACTCCACCCCCTGCTTCAATGAGCATGCTCGCACAGCATGTGTTTCAAGAATGTTCTGTAACTCTGCCCTCCCCCCCCTTCAGTGAACATGCTCACACAGCATGTGTTTCAGGAATGTTCCATAACCCCCTCTTCATTTCAGGAATGTTCTGTTACTGCTTCTTTATTTCAGGAATGTTCTGTAACTGCCCCCTTCAGTGAGCTTGCTCACACAGCATGTGTTTCAGGAATGTTCTGTAACTCCGCCTCTTCATTTTAGGAATGTTCTGTAACTCCGCCCCCGTTTCAGTGAGCATCCTCA